GACACCTAGAAACTTACAGTGTGTCAAGATTGATGATGCGTCCCAACTCAATAGCTATTCTATCACCAAAATAGTTTGATGACAAATTCCTGCAGGTCCAACAAATTTAATACTATCAATTTACAAGCAAGATCAATTGAACCCCAAGTGATAAACAAAGTTCAAAACAGCAGAACTCACAGATAAGTTAAACTCTGCAGATTGCGGAATGCCAGAGGGATAGACCCAGTCAAGTGGTTCCCATGTACATTGCTAAAATAAAATCAACAATCAATGAACATGAAACTCAATCAATATGCATAACATCACTGAAGTTCAATTAAAGTCAGAAATCAGATATCATACAATTGATTCAACGCCGTGCAGGAACTGATTTCATGTGGAATAGGACCTTCCAGTTCATTGTTGGCAAGATTCCTGACGCATAACATGCATGTCAGTAAATGTAACACTGGGATTACCAACAGGAATGGTGACAATAATTACTCACAACTCAAACAACTGCTGCAGCTTCCCAAGCTCAGCAGGAATTGTACCGAGCAATTTGTTGTCATTCAATTGTCTGCAGATAAAAGTTGTAAAGCAAATTCGGTCACACAGATTTAACTATTACATCTATAGGTTTGTATCATATAAGGCTACTTACAAATAGCTAAGTTTAGACATATTGCCAAGCTCAGGAGGAATTGGCCCAGTCAACTTGTTGCCATGGAGATATCTGAAATAACAAACGTGTTAAGACAAAATACTGAAGCATTCAAGGTGACATTATCCCTCAAAGCAAGCCGAGCTTACAGTTTCCCTGTGTAGGACAAATTGCCAAGTATTGGTGGAATTGGCCCTACCAGTTCATTCTCACTCAAATCCCTGGAAGACAAATAGGAAATTAAAAAGCAAATTAACTCTCTACTAGGGAAAAAGAATATTGCTGCAAAAATCCTACTGGAATAAAATCCTAAAAGTTCAATTAAGCTCACTTACAGAACAGCAAGGGCCTGCATTAGACCAATCACCTCAGGGATTTTTCCCGTCAATCTATTCCCTTGGAGCGACCTAACAAAAGTACCATAACCTTAATACCCAAACAAAAAAGGCTTTATAACCTTGTCATCAGATGAAGTCCACAATAACTACAACTGTCAAAAGCCATAAAACTTACAGCGTAGCTACTTGTAAAAATCCAATGTTATATGGGATTCCACCTGTTATCTGATTATATGATATATCCCTGTAGTTCCAAAACAAAACCATTACGAAAATTTCAAACAAAAGATTCAGTTATTTTGTGTAGGAAAGGGGGGACTAAAATTTTTAAGACAACATACAGGATCTCAAAGCTTGTACAGTTGCCAATGTTGTCGGGGATGGGACCAGTCAAATTATTGCCTCTAACATCACTGTTGGACAAAATAAAATAAAAAATTAATAACAGGAACAAAATGATAGAGAACGAATGACACAAAAACAGTTGACTTTAGGTTGTATGATCACTTACAAGTACCACAAGCCCGTCAATTGACACATATCTGGTGACAGTGATCCAGTCAAAGAGTTTCCACGCAATCCACTGTAAAGTCATTTTCAACCAAAAGAATCAGAAATACTGAGGATTCTGTAGCATATATACTACAGCCTTGCTACAAATAATCATATACTGACCACAACCAATAAATTTGAATCACTGTAAATTGAAATCTTGCTTGTAACAATGTTTACGGCACTTACAGGTACTGCAGCACTTCATTCCAATATATTAGCCTAGGAATCTCACCAGTAAGCTGATTCCGAGCAAGATCACTTCAATTGCCAAACCATCATACCCAAAGAGAAACAAATTATTAGTCCAAATGTTATGTGAAAACACATCTTAGCACAACAATTGTCGGAAGCTGAATTTTACTATATAATATAACAAGCTTTCAATTTTAAATCATACTAGTATAAGGGTAAAGCAGAGAACCCACAGAGTTTTTAGGTTTGGAATTTGGGTTAGAGTTGTAGGGATGGGACCAGTCAACTGATTGTTCTTCAAATTCCTGCATAAATAGAATCAGATTAGTTTGTAGGAACTTTTATGAATCTTACTGGCACTCCATGATTATATCACTTACAAAAGCTCCAGCTTCTTAAGCTTGGAAACGGAGAAAGGTATGTCTCCATACAGGAAATTATCAGATAAATCCCTGCAGTTTCAACACAAACTACTCAGCGAAACCAGAACAGAAACAAACTCCAAGGACGAATATAGAAAAGGTTAAACATCAAGGATAACTCTTACAAATGCATAAGAGAAGCACAGTTGCCAATCTCATCCGGTATTTGACCAGTAAGCTTATTCCCCTGCAAGTCTCTACCATTTATAAATACAGAAAAGTCAATCAAAAACCGTTCAATGCTATCGCACCAAAAAATAAAAGAAGATACAAATGGTATCAAAAGAACTGAAACATACATGGATTGTAAGTTCCCCAAATCTCCAATGGCTGGTGAAATCTCTCCACCCAGGTTCAAATTGGACAGGTTCCTTCAAACAACAAACAAAAGAATATTAAACCCATCAAATATGCAAAACCAAATTCTGCAGCAAACGATTAAAGGGTTCAGAGAGAGAGAGAGAGAACCCACAAGGAGGCCACAGAGAAGGTGACATTGTCACAGAAAACTCCTCGCCAAGAACAGAAATCTTCATCATGGGCATCGTTCCAGTCGAGCAACACGTTGGCTACATTGCTGAATGAAGCCTTAATTGACATCAACGCTTTTCCTGTGCACCCAAATAAAATATTCCAGAGAAATAAATAAGACTATTTAATAATACCCAGCTATAGGATAAAAAATAAAATAATTTCAATTTAAATAGTATAATAATTCAGACGCTTGAGTTGAGGACACCAAGTTCAACCCATAACACAAAAATTGAAACTTGGAAGCACTGATAGGGTGTGGCATGTTGGGTATGGCGTTCGGCTGCTGAGAAAACGTGAGATCAGAATGGCATAACTCAACGGACTAAAAATAGAGTGCAACGGTGACCAGAGTCCATTTTCCGATCAGCATAACGTTCAAAAAACATAGAAACAAGTTTTTCATGTGTTCAGTTCTGGTTATTTCCTCCGTTTTCTCGGCAACGAAACGAAAATCCAAGGAAAAGAGAGACTTTTGAGCATGAGAGCCGGAAGAGAAGCAGCAAGCGAGAGAGAGAGAGAGCTACCTTCGTCGTTGAGTGGGGAAGCAAAGGGAAAGAGAAGCGGAAGCAAAGCTAGTCCGACGCAGAAGATAACCCTTTCCTCCATCCTCCACAAACTAAAGCTCCAATGGCAAAAAACCCAAAACAGAGAGACGTAAAAGAAAGAAAAAGGAAAATGGGGACTGAACAGAAGAGGAAGATGAGCTAAGCTCTGGGTTCTTCAACCTCACACATAATACCCCACTAACAGAAAGAGAGAAGCAGGGGGAGCAGACGTTTGGCGTGAAGTGTAAGGCAGACTGAGGGAGTGTTATGAAGAGAGAGAATTGAATTCTTCACTCTCTCTCTCTCTCTCTATCTTTGTCTGTCTGGCTTACTCTGCGTGTTTTAAGAAAGAGGTGTGTGTATGTATGTAGTGTATAAACGGCGGTGAAGCGACGTTAGTGATGAGACTCAGAGACTGTAAAAAAGCAAACGGCAGCGGCCGTCATTCGTACCAAGCGCTTTCCAAAGCTCATGCATTTTTCGACACCTATTTCTATTATCACTGTATATATTTATTACACATTTGTAAATTGACCAACTTGCCCTCCTCCCTTTCGCTCTTCTTCCCACTCTCTACCTATGGAGCGTGGGGATGAAGGGCAGCGAAGACTGGGTCGTATGGTTTGGTCTGGTTTTGTTGTTTCTGGTTTGGTTTCAGACGAGAGAGGAAGAGTCTTATTGCCACTCTGGTGTCTTTTATGCTTCCAAGGAATTTTGGCTTTTTGTCTTGTTTGTTGCTTGTCTCATAAAGAAAGAAATGACTTGCTTCTTTTTTCTTGGTTTGAGTTTAATTGTTTTCTCTCTTTCTATTTTTAGGTTTTGCTTTTGGGTCCAAATTTTGTAATTATTTAAGTACATGTATACAATCAAATCAATAGCCAAGTTGACAAAGGGAAAATCCTCTTTGGGTTTCTGGCGTTTTTTCAGCCTTTTATGCTACAAAACCAGCTTCGAACAATGACGACTTCCTTTCCAAGAAATCACAGTTCATATATATTTGGTCTACTTACCACTGCAATCTGCCCTTGACCCAAAATGTTGACATATAGACTTGGTTTGAAAAAATAATAATTGATTTGTGCTAAAAAAAACTTATTTATAACGGAAATAACACTGTTTTGCTATTTCTTTTTTAATAATACAATTATACGTACAAAAGTTATTATACATATTATTGCGTTGTTGATCTGGAATGACAAAAAGTCCAATCCAGTTGACCACCCAAAGCCAAAACCTTCTTCTTCTCAATAATGAAGATATTATCATGGAAATTATAGAATGATGATGATGGTAGGGACAAAAGGCTTACCTAATTATTATGTTTTGTAAGATTAGCAACAGAAATTAAGAATAGGCGCGTAGGTTTTATCATATGATCATAAATTAATATAAAGAATAACAGACGGATGGAACTTTACAAAGATTCTATTTTTAATGGGTTTCTCAGATTTGCAAAGTTCGATATACTTAAAAACCATAATCACTAAATAAGCACACAAAAAGAGTTGTTGCTGGATAAGCGTTGGCAACAGCATCTGCAGCTTTGCAGCAGCATTCGCCCTATAAACAAACGAACAGGCTTCCTTCGTTTAAAGCTGGGAATTGCTCTCATGTTAATTATTTTTTTAAGTTTCTTCCTCTGTGGTCTTACTGGGATTGGCACCAGTTTGTATTTTATGGTTTAAGATCCAAATCTTAATCTGCTAATGTTGGCTTCGAGAAACGTACCTGCCACTGTCCATTGGTTAATCAAAAACCCCAAAAGATATATAGGTCACTAGGTCACTAGGTCAGTTTATTTTAAAAAAATTCCAATCCAAATTAGGGTTTATCCTATGGACAAAGATAACCCAGACCCGTTAAAGCAAGCCACATTAACCACAGCAAACCCACAAGACGAAACATCCCATATAAATGCAGTGGAGGCAAAGAGGCGTCTCCTCCTATACATAATTCATATACATACACATGCCTTGGTCTGAGGCCTGAGGCTATAAGGGCACCTACCCCTAAATAATAGAAACAAAGGGTTAAAAAATATGAAAAGTGACAGCTAAGGTGGTACATTAGAGCCAGACAGACTGCGCTCTGAGCCTGAGAGGCTAAAGCCAAAGACAAGACCGGCGTAGAAGCAGCCGGTGACCCGCCGTCAGCAATTGTACTACGGGCGTGACATTTATGAGTTCCCACTTTTAAACCATTGGTTTGGTGGGGACTTTGGGACCCTCCTCTCATCACCATGCATTCAATTTTCCATGTGTTAATTATTATTATTTCACTTGGGTTTTCTTTTGGGGTCCTCCTTCTTTACTCCACTCAAGTGGATTCAAATTTTTCTTGATTTACATTTATGCGGGTTTTCCATTGGCCAAATTCAACGGAACAAAATTAATTGTAATTTGGTTTAATTCATTTTTAAAAAAAAATATATCAGCAATATTGAGGGATGAGCTATAAGTTCGATATTAGGAAAAATGAGATTCGAAAACAAAAACTCAGTGTAAAAGTGAACACAAAATCTTGAATACACGAATAACTGCTTTTAACCAGTTGAGCTTTTTGATTTTGTTGTGTTGAAAAACATCCGTTCTTAACATATTTGATAAAGTAGCATAAATGTCCAAATAGTTACGAAAATTGCAAAGCAAACAAGGGCTCAAACCGACCATCAGAAAGCAACGGAACTAAATAAGAGGTTATTGTGGGACCGTGGGATTTGGTTGGGAGTATAAAGAAGGGGGGTACAGGGGGATTGATTATACCCATCATAAGACACGTGATAAGTTCCCCCTCCATAATTATAATTCTCATCTCTTTACACTCACTTTTCGTCCTCTTATTATTATTGTTTCATGCCAAATTTTTGTTTCTTTAACTGTTAGTACGATGCTCATGTTTATTTCAATGCGTGCACAGCTTTAGAGTACACCAAAAATCTGAGTAAAATATGAAAATAGAATATTGACACAGAATTTGTATTCATTCTAGATTGGGTTTTAATTGTTCTAAAAGCCCAACCATGATCCAATCTGAGAGCCACACAGGGGCAGGCCTAGCTCATAAGACTCTAATTGCACACAAAAATTAACATCTGAACAAGTAATGCCTTAATAAGTTCAACAAAAATACAGGGCATGACAAATTGACAACTATATATCTAAAATTGATTAGAAACAGAAAAGCTCAATGTTCTTGGATGAGAGTTGACAGAAATGCATCAGTTGAATAAACAAAATGTAGGACCAAAAAGAGAGCAAAAACCACTTCATCCTTCTCCCTGTATCTGCTTTGTTTAAGATACTGATTTGTTTAAGATACTGGATCAGCATTGTGCCACCCCTTAGCGCATGGAGGGATGCTCATGAACTCATCAAATTCCTTTACATGAACGTCGCAGCACTTCCACTGCAATATTAGAAAGAAAAGAATCATTTTTACTTATACAGTTAAAGATATAAGGCATACTATACTACATATTGGACTGAATTGACTATTGCAGGACACTCACCCCTCTCACTCGGTCGTGGAAAATAGCAGGCCCCGGATGGTAACTGCATGCAGCCTCATGGTTATCCTTCTCTTTAAAAGTTTTGCCACACCCTTTATTTTTGCAAATTTGGGGCTCGTTTATGCCAACAATCTTTTTAGATGGAGCAGAAGTGCCGTCAACATCTGTAATGCTTTCAGCATGTGGAGTTGTGGCCACATTTACAGGCTTTGAATTCATTTCTTTGGCTTGTGAACCTAACCAAAAAAAAATTCACTTGCTTCAACCTAAAATGCAAAACAAACAGCTAGAAAATGGATAAGTTTGGGAATATGGAGCTTTTTTTTTTCGGTTACAATGTGAAGAGCGAAAAAATAATGACAAAGTGAGAGAATCAGCTTCCACAGAGGGCACTCCCCAGTCATTGAGAAGATACAAGAAGAGAATGAAAACAATTCATATAACTGATCGTGTTTTACACCTTCTCAGATTCCAAAACCTGAAGAAGGGAATGTTCACTCTTTCCCCCAAGTCGTGTTCCCCAGTAACATAACGAAGGATAAGTTTTCAGTGTATTCAAACTTAACAAATCACCTTATATCGCATCCTAATATTGTTATTTTCTTCAAATATCCATATCACTGATATCTTTATCAGTTAACTTCAGAGGTTGAATCACTACCCCTTTCACCAAAATAACAATGAGAAGGCAATATTAGAACCTCTCATAGTCATATCAAACTTAAAATTTGTGTGCACATAGATTCTTCCACCTATTCTAAGCAACTAAATTATATCATTTCCATGAAAAAACCAACCAACCTCCTGTACACCAAGTATGAAGAATGGACATGTTCAAATGCTTAAAGAAAAAGGGATCCAAATGAAATTACCATGATCCGAACAGAAGAAACCCTGCCGACACCTAGAGCAGGATTCTTTTGACGATGCATCAGTTGCAGGGGGAGCGGTAGGAGCAGAAACAGGAGTCTTAGGCTTCGCCTTTAGCAACACTGGCTTCTCTGTTGTGTGTTTACCTGTCTTGCAACTTCATTCACACAAAAAAAAAGGGACAGAAAAGGATAGTTAAATAACTTATACTGACAAAAGTTTAAATGCATAATCAATTTAGGAAGACTAAAATTTTTTGATTAACAATAAACTTTGTTTCAAGTTCTAGCGAGCGCGTTATAGGCAAATCTTAAATCCTAGTGAAAATTCAGCACTTACCCTTTAATTTCTAAAAATAAGCTGAAATCGTGACTTCTTTTCTTGCAACAACTCCACTCCTTAATCCCATCATGAAATATAGGCTGGAAAAATAAAGATATTGAGCTTAAGTGATGGCATTGAACTAAAAGAGAAAATAAAGAGGAACATTTCAAAAACTCCAAAAGATATATAAATAAAGGAACGCAATTTAACCACTAAATCAATAGGCATATACTTACTCCCTGAAAAAATTGAAGATGCCCACGCAATCAACCAAGCCGAACATGCAAGACAATAAGCTGAATTACTATTCAGTAACAAGATTTCACAAGGCACAATAAAAAGTTTCATCATTTATAATCAGAGCATGCACGCGAACGCCCCTTTTAGATACAAAATGTGCAGCATTTGGATCAAAGAATTAAATAAATTTGAATTGAGTCATATAACGAAATAATTTACACAAAGATAGATAAACTGATCAATGCAGCAAATCGATACACAGTCCTCCTATACACGGGGGCCAACTTTCAATTGTAAAAGATTTTACAATAATTGATTGAACTTCCAAATACTCAATTAACAGAATCTCCCAGTCAAGAAAAAATATAAATAAATAAATAAGAAGAATTTGAGGCAGCAGCTGCACCGCACTAATCTCAGTGGACATTTAATTTATGAAACTAAACTCGGGCAAAAGAGTTAAGTAGATTTTATTGCGGAAACAAACAAAAAAAAAAAGGAAAACGAGAATTTGCTTAGCTTCTTTCACATCAAAACCAGTGCCTGGCAAGATAATTTTTCTTTGTTGTTTCTAAAACCGAAAAGAAAAAGGAAGGAGCTTGAAAGTAAGAGAGAGAGTACCGAATCATGGTATTGGCAGGAACCTTCGGGATTGTCGTCCTCGGAAAACTTGGCGTTACAGCCAATTCGCTGGCATTGAAACAGAGCTGTCTGCTGACCCTCCATTCTCTCTCTTGGTCTGCCTAAGAAATTCAGAAAGAGGAGAAGGGAAGCTAGAAGAAGAAGGAGCGAGGAAGGGAGACCAAAAGAGAAAGACCGCAAGTCCAACAAAACTCAAAACGGATTCGTACTGGATTTGGTTTGCCTTTAATATTCCACTGTCTCTTTTCTAGAAAGTGCGCCTCGGTGCCCTTCTTGGGCTTCACTTTCCCATCCGACACCGGAGTCCATTAGCCCAATTAATTCTGGGTACGGGTCGGCTCGTAGAGAAAGTTTTGGTCTGAAGTCTTTGCATTAAAAAAGTCGCTTAAATATGAATGAAGCTGGGATTCTATTTCATTCGCTGTAACGAAAATAGTCCGATTTGAGATGTTAATGATTATATGGCATCTGCATTGATCTAATATGTGCTAAAGCTCTATACCATAATGGAAGCAAATTTTCAACATAAACGCAGCAAGGCCAAAAATGTTTCAGTTAGTAGTAGTATTTCATCAAAAAATGCTTCAGAAGTTAATTTTTGGGTACGATACAATTTCCTAAATCTGTAGTATTTGCAGTAACTTTCTCCAAATAGACTTAAGCATGCACACTTGGAGAGGAACCCTACATAGATTCCTATTTACAGAATACTCGAAATAATACAAAAAATATTTATATACATGATAGCTCCGAGCTGGAAATTAAATATCCAGAAATGTCATCTGCAACCTCTACAATGGAATTGGCAGCGAAATCGAAACCTGATATTCACAAATCTTGCAACTGAATCTTCACTTGATAAGAGACTCGATAGACAAAGAAGGTCACAATATTCTGTTGTGTTCTGCTTCAATCATCAAAGCTTTCTCCTGTAAAGTGGAGGAAAAAAGAAATGAGCAAATACTTAAAAACTCTGGATAGCTTTCAGAAGCAAATTATACTTTTCAAGTTTTGAATGCATATCCAGCCCTCTGCACACATATTCATTTCAAAAGAGAGATGAGAAGAGCCACGGGCAATATCCACTGCATGGTTCATTCAAACTTCAAAAGTATACCATGCTTGCAAGTGTGTCAGCATGCATGCATGTGCTTCAGAGAGGGGGAAAGAGAGAGACCTCGTTATATGGGGTGCCCTCGGAAGGAAACCAGTGCATAAGAACACCTAAGTTCATTATGGCAGGAATCAACTTAAACAAGAGTGGAGTTGTAACCTGTAACATCATTTACTAGGGTAAGTATTTTGAGAGAGAGAGAGAGAGAGAGAGAGAATGGAAGTCACTTTCGATGCCAAGGAAAAATAAAATAAAATTACCAGGCTTAGTGCTGTCGTTCCGAGAAGAAGCAGGTACATCTTCCCCTGTAAAGAATAGTTTGAAAAGATGATGATAAGAAAATGAAGATGAAATCAGAGGATAATATGCGGATAAGAAAATGAAGAAGTTCAATAGTTTAACCAATTCTACTTTTCTCAACTGATTCCTATGTTTTTATTCAAAAAGAAAATTTAAAACCACACAACTTGCGAATGCATGCGTATAGTCCATTCCTAGATTACTATGACTAACCATAAAGAGAGATAAGTTACCTCAACAAGATTAAGATTCGACGCCCGACTTAAGAGGACAAAAGCAAATTCTCCAATTTGAGCAAGTGAGACTCCAACCTATAAAAAGTAATCAAGTTTTAAAAATTAGGAAGCAACTAATTTAGTTTATCTGCTGCAGATAAGATATGACTCAAATCTTATAAATCAACTTACCACAAATGATGTCCTAAAGCTATATCCGAAGGCCTTAGTAACAATAGAAGCAACGGCAGTCTTTACAACTATAACTAGAATAACAGATGCTAACAGTATGTCCACATGGCTCCACAAGAAATGTACATGTATGAGCATTCCAATACTTGAAAGGAAGAGAGCTGCAAAAAGGTTACGAATTGGTTCCACCTACAATGTACAAAAACATCGAATGCAATCATTAATGTTAACACTGTCTTATGAAAATAAAAAATGATTCATAAGCGATGTCCATGCATCTGCTTTTACTTTTCTTTTCAGAGAAACAAAAAGAATATTAATACATGACCCTGACACTTGCAACATAAAAATGCATTTACAACAATGTAAGCTACTAAGTTTACGAACCACATAGTTAAAAAAAGCCCCAAAAATAAAGTCCAACGAGTTTATAACTTAAGAAGGGGGCAAAAACAAAAGTAAACAAATGAACATGACAACAATAAATTAGGTAACAAGTGGAAATCCAGAAGAGTACCTGGTCTAAAGTATGTTGTGCAAGGTCAGTGGTTGATATCATAACTCCAGCCACAAATGAACCCAACTCAAGGCTAAGGCCCAGCTTATCACTACACTGAAAAGGTTACAAGAGATTCAATAGTATTAAAACAGTGTTGAGAATTACAAATATGTAGCAAGATCTGTGCATTAGAACCATATTACTGTTATTCCGTGATCCACACACTGAAAAGGTAATTCACCATCTTAGCTTCAGAGTAAGTTCATGAAGGGAAACTTATTCCATAACAAAGGCTTATATTTCCTTCTTTTCTCAAGGTACTTAGAATATCCAATTTAAGTCAGGCATTTCAACTTCCAAGTTTAAAGCACTCATCTTGCCATCCATCAATTCATTCCCATCCAACTGAGCAGATTCAAGTCCTATTTTAGAAATGTAACATAAAAACTGTATTCTCCAGATGAGTAGTAATTAGACCCATAATGAAAACCAAGTTGAGCAACACCTCAGTACCCAATACTCGGCCAACATTGGACCCATAATGAAGCGTAGTGGTTATAATGTGTCAAAACCAGCTCAGCACTCAAAAGCATGCAGATGGAGCAGGAAATAGATATGCATAGATTTGAGGATGAACATGATGAGTAGTAATTAGCCTTGATATAAAATGAATACAAAATGTCCACTTACCCAAGCAGATAATAAGCAGAAAGCCACAACAGCAAGCTGATAAAGCTCATTTGTCTGATTCACCATAAAAATTATAGATGAGCCAAGTTAGTTATTAAAAGTCAATACAGAAAGGTAACTAGCTCATTCTACTAAGCAATCAAAACTTACTTGAGAGGACAAGTGCATCATCAATTTCAGAAAACGAGGAACAAATGACCAACACAATACAGAGGCAGCAGCAAGATATAGAGACAACACTAGCAGCCTGAAGACACAACAAATTACAAATTATAATTTGCAACAAGCTCTTTATTAGGATGTTGGACTGCAAAAGGACCACTTCAAAGAGAAAAAAATGGTAAACTCGAGCATGGCAAAAAAAGACATGATTAAAATGACTCAGTTTCATTATAACAAAAGAAAATTTTGGAATAGAAACAAATAAAAGGAAAAAGGACGATACAACATGGGAAAATAAAATAAAAATGCCATAAAAGAAGGCACAGAAGCAGAGACTTACAGCTTCCCCACTGATACCATTCCTTGGAAAAGGCCACTATGACCACCCAAAACTGGGAGCAAAGCAAACAGTAAACCAACAGCACAATCCTGAAATAATCCACAGTGAATGAATGTAGCATCATAAACCAAGCTTATTGCATAAAATGCCATCTAGTTATCAGTAAGCATACCATCTGAGTTTTCAGAGTTCAAAACCTACCTGGAAAATGAGTGTTCCAATTGTTACTTGACCATGAAGAGCACTACTACTATTCTGTTCTCCAAGAAATTTTACCACCTGGTAAAAAGGAAATGAGAAAGGAATGTGCACGCAAATTTCAGAAAGAAACAACCAAGGAGGAAAAGTGACATCATATTATTAAGGCTTCAAAAACATACCACTGCTGTTGATGACATTGACAAGAAGGAACCAACAAAAACTCCCTCAGACAACTTTGCTCCGCACAACTGCAAAATAAGCAAAACAGCAATCTTATTGTTTAATTTGACAGGAATTAACTAGTTACTTGTAACAAAAAACTGGTTATCAAGATTGAATACAATACCACAGCAGTTATGGCACACAAGAACATAAATGTTAAGATTTGAAGAAGGCCTCCAAGAACAGCTACAGGGCCCACGGCTTTTAACTGCACAAACAACAAGTTAAATGGCTTCCTTAAACAAAGGTGATTTTCATCCTCACCCTCACCCTCAGGATATGAATTAGAAAATTTCATAATTTACTGCATAACAGACAGAAAACTAAAATTTCCCAAGTCTAACATACCTTAGCCAAAGAAAACTCCAAACCTAGAGCAAAAAGAAGAAATACAACACCAAATTGTGCAACAGTTTCTACCTGTAACAGAAGTAGCAGATTTGAGGATAAACTATAAAGAAACTAGAACTCTAAAATCAGAAAAAATAGAACTTTTGGCTGATCACAATTCACAACGTACCTGTACCATCTCACTGATGAACTCCAGACCCCCTGGTCCAATGAGAGAACCCGCAAGAAGGTAGCCCACAATAACCTATCAAAAGCATATAAATTAGAAAAGATAGCATAACAGCTGCATCATTTAAATCGCTATATGTAGCTGAAAGTTTATAATGTTGGGTCATATAGACCATTAAATAGTGGAAGATTAAGTTAGAGATAAGAAAAACTATGAACAAAAGCAAAAGGGTGGCTAAAATTTAAAGACAAACCGGTTGTCCCAAACAAGAAAACAAAATTCCACCAATGGCAGCAGAAACTATGATAACCACCAAATCAGAAATTAACCTGCCAAAATGTCAAGTGTTAACCATAAATCATACATGTATCAAGAAGTAAACTCAAAACTTAGAAACTGCAATAACTGTTCTTAAGGCAGGGGAATGCAGTATCACTAGTTTGTTATAAAAAAGGAGGACCTTTGGGGCTATTGAGGGATAACATACTGTTTTACAGGCATTAGATTATAAAATCCATAATCAATTAAAAACAACCAAAGACATAAAAGTTTATGCCACATGTAAATTCATTCTAGAAACATTTGAGAAAATGGGCCCTGAATTTATCCATGTATGATAGTCAGGGAAGGAATACATAAAAATACCTCAAATCTACTTGAAGTACTGGATATTTGGATTTCTTGTTTGACATCACAAACACATTATCCTATCATTAAATAAGTAAAATAAGTTAATATGGTTAAAATGAAGCTAAA